CCTCTCCGTACCTCCACTTCCCTTCCAGCTCCACCCTCTTGCCCAACTTCTGGCAAACCCCCATCTGTTCTCTGTTTCAATAGTTAGGTCCTTTCAACAACGGTATATAAATGGAGTCACGCAGTCGGTACACTCTTCGGACAGGCTTCTTTCCTCCAGCAGAATTTTCTGGAGGCTCGTCGAGGTCATTAAGTCTATCAATACAAATTGTTCCTTTCCTTCCTTTTTTATTGCTGAAGACTATTCTCTGCTACGGAGAGATCACATTTTGTCTAGCCATTCATCCCTTGAAACACATTTAGTTGTTTCTGGTTTGGGGCTATTACAAACAAAGTTGCTATAAACTTTCATGTGCAGGTTTTTCTGTGAATATATGTCTTCATTTCACTGGTGAAAAAAAAAGCCCAGGATATTGCAATTGCTGGGTTGTATTGTGGTTGTGTATTTAGTTTGTCAAGAAACTGGCAAACCCTTTTCCACACAGGCTGTGCCATTGCTGCCCACCAGCAAGCCATGTGTGAGCGATCTAGTTTTTCTGCCTCCTTGTCAGCACTTTTTTGCTCAGTGGCTGCTCTTATTTGCAGGTTGCTGGCTCCTCCATTTCCAAGTCTAGGATCTATGAGGCAAGAAGAAACCCCAGGGCCCTCCCCTCCCCAGGGTTCCTCCATTTCCTAGCTGGTCTGTCTTTTCCTCTCCACCTGGCAGAGAGAAAGCAGGGACTTCCCATTGTGCTTACTGGAAGGATAAGGAAACGTCATATTCTCCATCTTTCTGGAACCAGAAGTCATGTTCTCTTTAAAAGTCAGTCTAAGAAGGAAAAAGAAAAACTACAGTTCAAGGAAAGGACTCAAGTTCAAGGTGAGGATTTCAGTGGAAAGTCCATAAAGCTGTCACTGGGGAAGGTCCCCCGGCAGACCCACAACCTCTGTGCACTGGGCAGGAGGGGCTCACCCTCCCGTTAGGCGAGACTTGCGACCCAGCTGCACCTGGGAACTCAGCGAGGCAGAAGTCAGAGTCTTCAGGGATGTCAGGAGACGATGCCATGGGGCAGAGGAGGGAGTTGGAGGTCTCCTCAGTTCCTGGAGTCCTGTCCAACCATGTATCCTCCACTCAGAGTGCTTTGTCCTGGGTAAAGAGGTACTAATCGTTATCCGCTTCCTCAGAGGATAACCGCTGTGGCAGGATTTCCCTGTCGGTCCCCCAAGGACCACCACTTATTTCCAGGAAGTTCAATAAATGTCCCTGTGTGTCTAATCTGGGATCACAGAGATAATGATTGCCTCTTGCCCCCCGCAGGAATCGCCTGTCCGGGAGCTGGCCGTGGCCTAGAACCAGGCCCTTCCCCTCCCTGTGAGGAACACTGGGAGCCCATGGGCTGTGGGGCCAGAGGGCCTCAGAGCAGCTGACCCAGCCTGGACATCAGGGGCCTTCCAGAAAAGATTCCTCCCCCGCCCCCACACGTCCGTTCCTGGAGGACTTCACCCAGCACCAAATCACCATCTGTTCCCTCGTGTTCATTTGTTGTCTTGCAATCGCCACTGCTTGAGGCATAAGTTACATTTATTGGTTCATCTGTATTTTTGTTTGGTTTTGCTTTGCTCCGCTGCTAGAAGGTCAGCTCTCTGAGGACAAGGCACTGTGTGTCTCAGTCCCTGCTCTATGCCCAGTGACTTGGTCCATGTCATGTGCCTGGTAGACACCTGGTAGTTTCTTTCCTAATTCTTTTGCTATCACAGGCAATCCCAGACATTCTAGGGATTCAAAAGTCCAGTCCAATTTTAAAACTTCAATCTCGGGGCACCTGGGGGGCTCAGTGGGTTGAGCTTCTGCCTTTGGCTCAGGTCATGACCCCAGGGTCCTGGAATCAAGTCCCACATGGGGCTCCCTGCTCAGCGGAGAGCCTGCTTCTCCCGCTGCCTGCTGCTCCCCTTGCTTATGCTCACTCGTGTGCACTCTCTCTCCCTGACAAATAAATAAATAAAATCTTTAAAAAATTAAAAAAAAAAAAACCTTCCATCTCCTATCCATTTTAACATTCATCCCAGTTTCTTCTGGAATCAAGCTGTGATGCAACCTTGGGCTTACCATCTGGAGGGGGTAGGATTTTCCCTTCTATTTCTCCTCTGCCCCCAGGTGTGTACATCTGGGGAGGAGGGATGGAGAGATGAGACTTCTAGTTTTTTTGCCTTTTGGTGCCATTGTCCTCTCTTGACTCTTTGCATTTTTTGCATTGCAGGCAACCACAGACGTCCTCTGGGACGGAGATGTGCCTTCTCTGCCTTAAATTTCCCTGCGGGAACTCTCTACTTTCTGCTGCCCTTGAGTCTCATTGCCTGCTCCCCACCCCTGTGGTGAGGGACAGCAAGGCTGCTCCAGCCCAGAAACCTTCCACAGCCCCTGTTCCTTAAGCGGGCACTCTGCATGTCCTCAATCCGGCTCAGGGTGGCATATCCCTAACCACCATGACTGCCATAGCCCCTCCACCATAGTTGAACTAAATAACCTCACCCCAAACCTTCCCTCCTCATCTTCTCTACATTTTTCATGCTCTTATCTCTGGCTAAAACCCCTCCCCCACCTCCACCCATCTTCTCCCTGTGACGGGCTCCATGGCCAAGGGCAACACTGCTTTGTCCTCAGGTCTTCCCTCCTCTTGACTCTGGTTGTTCTCAGCCCCGGGGCATCCTGCAATCCCCCAGGACTCTGTAGACCTCCAGAAAGTCTCATTCAGTTGGTCTGAGCAGGGTCTGGGCAGGGGCATTGGCTTAACCACTGCCCATATGGTTCCAATGTGCCATCCAAGTAGGCGTCCATGGGCCAGAGGGACTCACTTGTCTTTTACTCAGAGGACTGTCCTTTCTCCCAGCCTTTGTCCACTACAGACTGACCGCAGAGGGAGGCCTTGTGGAATAGTGAGCATTCATGGGAAGCTTACCAGATGCTATGGCTTGTCCTGAGTCCTGTACGTGGACTCTCCCCTTTACTGCCCCAACCGCTCTAGGAGGCGGCCCCAGAGCCCGGGCTGACACCTGTGGTTTCTCTGCAGTTTGGGTCTAGTCCAACTCCCCCCGCCCCCATAGCTACTGAACGCAGATGAGGAAACGAGTGATGGCTTTGTCCTAGGCCACACGTAAGTCAGACCCAGTGCAACATTTCTCAGTGAGATTTATTCCTGTTACTGCTTTCGTGATGGCTCCTCTTCCAAAACACCTGTTTGGTTATTTATGTAATTTTTTTTTAATTTCAAATTTTATTTCAAATGTTCTTTGTACTCAGATTCACCTACGCAAAAATATCCATAGTACTGAAGGTTTGATGCTGGGAATATTTTTCTTTCTTTCTTTTTTTTTTTTTTAAAGATTTTATTTATTCATTTGACAGAGAGAGATCACAAGCAGGCAGAGAGGCAGGTAGAGAGAGAGGAGGATGCAGGCTCCCCGCTGAGCAGAGAGCCCGATGCGGGGCTCGATCCCAGGACCCTGAGATCATGACCTGAGCTGAAGGCAGACACTTCACTAACTGAGCCACGCAGGCACCCCTAGAACCTGTTTATTAAAAGAGCATCTCCTCCAACACAAACAGTTTTTGCCTGGAATTTGCTAGAAAACCTAACAAGATTTTTAAGTCCATGTCTCTTAGCTGCTTTTAGTTTTACAAAGTTCCAGACCTTTATAAGACATTTCATGAGAGGCAGCTCTCCCTTTGGAAAGAGTGCTGGGGCTGAGGGAACCCTAGGGATACATGTGTCATTATTACCTTTTCAAATATTCATCAAAATGGGTGTTTGTATTTTTATAGCCCTTCCACAAAAGCCCCATTTTTAATGCAGATGATTCTGGCCTGGCCTCTGGCATTAGGCTAGTCTTGTGCCCATAACCCACATGCCAAGTGAGCACCGAGAACAGGGGTATAGAAACTCAGGAGGGAATACATAGATGCTGTGGACGGCAAGACCCAGAAAGACATCAGTGAAGAATGGATGGGTTTGAAGTAACCTGGCTTAGCCCAGGGTCATGAGCATAGAGATACAGCAAGCAGCACAGGTTTGGAATGCTTCCTACCCTCCTGCCTGAGTCAGAAGAAAAAAATCAGTTCCTGTATCGTATCCCTTGGACCGATAAACTCCCAGATCCCCAAAACAGAGTTATTATTTCAAAACATCATACTGTCAGGGACATCTGGGCAGCTCAGTCAGTTGACCAACTCTTGATTGCAGCTCAGGTCATGATCGTGGAGAGGTGAGATTGAGCCCCACATCAGGTGCCGCGCTGAGTGCACAGTCTACCTGAGATTCTCCCTCACCCTCTGCTCCTCCCCCTGCTTGCACTCTCTCTCTCTTTAAAATGGGTCAGTAAGGGGCGCCGGGGTGGCTCAGTGGGTTAAAACCTCTGCCTTCGGCTCAGGTCATGATCCCAGGGTCCTGGGACCAAGCCACGCATTGGGCTCTCTGCTCAGTAGGGAACCTGCTTCCTCCTCTCTCTCTGCCTGCTTCTCTGTGATCTCCGTCTGTCAAATAAATAAATAAAATCTTTTTTAAAAAATGGGTCAATAAATCTTAAAAAAAGTGCTTTTAAAAAGTTGATACGATTCACACCTTGGGGATTGTGGGAAGTCAGATGGAGGCATCTCTGGGGATAATGTGCAGATCATTGGACTAGGTGACCATAAAGTTGAGAGATATTGGCATCACACACAATGTCTTTGTAGAATTGGGAGAAAGGGGGTTTTGTTCGGGAGGCAACGTGCACTGCTATGTTTGTTACCCTCTGGCTCCGAACAATGTCTCTCCAACTGACTGCAAATGCTGCATATGTTAGAAAGCAGAGGAGGGGAAGGAAGAGGGACTCTCATAAGCCCCTGATTGTTCTGCACACCCGTGGGCAGAAGAAGTATGGCTGGAATTAGGGGGTCAGGGAGAAAGGGGTGCGAAGCAAAAATTATCACTGTGAGAGTCCACATTCAACCAGTGACGACGGGGAAAACTCTTCTTTTACACCTAGGACATAGTGGAGAGCAAGGGGTTAGAAAGACAAGAGGTCCCCACCGTGAGCTGCTCTGTCCCTGGGAACCCAGAAGAACTGGAGACTGCAAAGGAGGACCCCCAAACCACAAATACAACCGAGAATAATAATTCCATCATGAGCTTCCTTAAAACTCTGGTGAGTGGTTGCTGCTCCTTCTTTCCTTAATCCCATCACTCCAAAGTTGTGTTAATTCCGAGAATAATATGTATTTGCTATTGTATTGGGCCGGGGGGATCATGATGGTGTGGCTGGAACATTGGAGAACAGGGACGGGATGTGCTTTGCAAGGGAATTGGGTCACATGGAGCTTTCAGTGATGGAGCCCTTAGAGCTGGGAACTGTGGGGTAAACAGCAGGTGCCTGAGCTATGTGAGCTACTTTGCAACGCAACTCTCCTGTGGTCCCATGTTTTATGGTCATTGAACATAAACATAGAGAAAAAGCTCCTTGAGCTATTGACCTATCAAAGCAGTTTTGCCATTCAGATGGCAAATAAAACTGTAGAAATTGATTCCTATCCAGAGGCAGGGACCCATGTCCTGTAATGCTTGCTTGTCTCTGACTCCTCAAGGCAGCCATGGCCTGGTCCACGCCAGATCTGTGAGAGGGCTGAATGAATCAATGAATCAATGAATGACTAATCACATGGACAGCTCCAAGTGTGTTTGGGTTCTCTCCAAAGCCCAAGACTAGCCTCAAAAAAGTGAAAACCAGTTAACAGAACATGTCACGAATACCAAAGTGTTGTGCCTTTGCTTGGATCAGTGGTAGGAGTGATGGAAAGTCTCTGGCCTTCCAGGAGACAATTTTGAAGGTGGTCAAGCTCTTAGTGAATGTATAAAGTCTGATGCATTTCATCATAAACCCTGACTTTTTAAAAAAAACTTGTTTATACCTAGAAATTATCCAGAAGTCCATGGCTGTCTACCGAACGTGGTAGAACACTTTTGTACTGAAAAGGACTTCTCATTACATTCGTTACCTGCAGATTGAACAGCAACAACCCCCTAAAAAGGATGTCTCTATGAAATCAAATCACCCTAAAAAGATAGCTATGATTTTTAATATTTGGTTTTCTTAAACTTTTAAGGTTTCACCTAGCAAAACTGAAACAAAAAAAGATCTGGAAGACACGGTAGGTAGTTTGAAGTGTGTTCCTGTTTGGATTTGTGCATGGGATTGGATTTGGATTTGTGTCTGCCGCTTGGTTTCTTGAAGTTTGTGTGTGTGTATGTGTTCAGCAATGTCACAGTGCTGTTGGATTGTCTTTAAAGTGTTTCATTAGTGTCAGCGGTATTTTGATGAAAATTTTAGTGGAAAGCTTGAAATATTTGCTGTCTCTGGATAAATAATGACACAATCACAAATTTCTTATATAAAATAAGAACAAAATACTAACAACCACATATCATGTTGGTCTTTTTAACTGTGCGTGGAGAGACCCAGGGAATATAGGAATATAGCACAAATTAGCTACTAGAAATGAGGAAGAGGTGAATTACAATTTAAAGTAGAAGTATACTGCTCTATTTTTGACTTTTAAAAAATATGTTCCGTGTTTTTCATGTAATTTGGAAAAAATAAATCTCCACAAAGACAATTGTTGGTGAAATCAAATAGTCACCACTGGATGCTTGCCAAGGGAAGGAATGTTTAGAGTTAGGATGCCCTAGAGAGCCTGAATTTTTTCTCTGTCATCCTAGACATCCAACCAATTCCCTTCAAAATAAATTTTATTTGGAACAACTACTTTCTAGAGATGTTTTCCTTTACCCTTGACAGAACTGATTATCCCTAATGGAACACATGGTTTAACTTTCACGGGAATCATGAGGAAAGTTTAATTTGGTGACAGATAAATGTCTCGCATCCTTCTTTTGATAACTGAGGGTGTTTTGAGAGACGCTGGGACCCAGTAAATGGCTGGGCCAGCCCAATACATCTGTTACCAATATTTGAAGGGACCAGGTTGCAAAAAGGATCCTAGAATTTGTCTCAAGACCTGCATTTGAGCTCCAGGCCTGCTATGTGGTAGCTGTGTGACGTGATCCGAACCTATGTGAATCCAACATCTGTAAAATCGGGACAATAAATTCTGTCTCCAACCCCAGCTTTGAAGGAAAGTGTGACAATGCCTGGCAAACTGTGGAATTCTGTTCAAATGTAGGTGATCGCTATTTCCATAATCACTGCCAGATGTATTGGACACCATGATGACAATTGTAATGTATCAATTGCTTCTTCTAGAATGTTCTTCTTCCATTTGAAAAAAAAAAAAATATTTATCTGACTCATCTACATGCTTTTTCCTATAAAATTAGTCATTTGCTATAAGGCAGCTGGGGTCAAGTTCAATGAATAGTTGGATCCAAATGTTTCTCTTTTGATTCTGTGTCTTACATTGATTGAAGTCACACAGTCAGCACAATAGGCTATAAACAGTGGGGTATGTGGGTGTGTTGTGTGGCTTCCCAAGTGACCTGATGCGCTCATTCTCTTAGCTGCTCATGCACCAAGACTCCTCCCTCCGCCCCCCAGAATGTGGTCCCAACTGCATGAACCTAGCTGATAAGATCTCACTACCCTGCCCAGAGAGGTCAGTCAGGGTCACTGCCAGTGGAGCTGAGTCTCAGAAGAGGGCTTTGTGAATGTAGGTTGTCTAATACACAAACTGACCTCTTTCCACAAACCTGCATTTTTAACATCCTTTCTACCAAAATTCTTGGATTCTTGCTTTCGAAACCTATACTGTTTGTCCGTCTTCCCATTTGGCCCAGACAATTTTGAACACACTCCACGCTCCATGCAAAATCCCCCACCATTTATAACTTGAGTCGACAATTCTGAAGGGTTGTGGCTGGGCTGTTTCAGCTCCAGTCTCCCCCGACTTCAGCTCAGCGGACTGGCGCACAGTAGACGCTTCTCTTGCCTGGGAGATCTATCCATCTAGAACTCAATTGAAATTTTTGCAGATGATACGGCTTCCCTGAAGTTTCTAATACTGAATAAAAGATGGGTTGGAGAAAGGAAGCCACTGGAGACGGTGTTTGTTTTGACTCCAGGATGCAAAAATAAATTGTTTTCATGTATCTTTTCCTTTCCTGTGTGACAAGAGTATTTCGATCTTTAAAACTATCAAATAGGGGCAGAGTTACCTTTTTTTATGTGAATATTTTATATAATATGGATCAAGCTTAATGTCCTGTCTTTGTCTTTAGCAAATGGACTTGCGTTAATCTGGGTCACTTAAATAGGTTGCCCTGTTGAAAATCATGTACTGGAAATGGTCTGGGAATCTACCAGGTAGTAAATTGTCTTTGAAAGTTTAAAAAAGATAAACATTCACATGATGTGCACGTTGCGGTTGGGGGATGGGGTGATCATGAAAGTGGCAGTTAATTGTGAAAGTGTTTCAATGCACTTAAAAATGACAGGGGAAAAAAGAAGGATTTTGTCTAAAAACAAAGTTCTAAGCTGTGACTGCTGTTGCCCAAAAGGCATCCAAAGCAGAAAGTGTCTGTGATGGCCAACCAGGACAGAAGACCTGTGAGAGCCAAGCTAAAGGAGCCAAGAAAAAGCACCTGCATAGCCCCAGGCTAGGATTCGCATTTAGAAAATTCTTTAGGCATAAGGTCTGTATCTTGTTAAATTAGAAAGAAAAAAAAAAAAAGAAGAGGAAGAAGAACCCTGGTCTTCACCATATGTACACGTGGCTGTGCTGGGTCCCTCCAGCTCTACTTTGGGGAAGACAGCCTGGTGTGATTGGGATCATACAAAGGAATTAAAAATGACGTGAACCAAATTTCAATGATTCTTTTAAGTCTCCGTAATTATTCATAAACATCTGACTAATTTCTTCCTAGTGTGGACCAGGGTTCTGAAATTATCCTTCTAACTCAGTGTTTCTCAAATGTCTGAAGCATGCATACCATCTTCATCATTTTTGTCAGATGTATTATTATTTGGTTGATCTTTTTATATTAAAAAGGACTCATTTCCTATTTAAAGAAAACTTTATATTACCGGATATGTGGAAAACTCGAGTCATTTTGCATAAAGAGTTAACCATGAATATGGCTCACAAAAAAAAAAAAAATGTATTCTAGCTACCTTGTTTGTGTCAAGCTCCAAGTCTAATGCCTTTCTAGCCTTATTAAAATGCAATTTGCCAGCAATAGAAAAATGTTAAAGATGTACCAAGACCAGACTAAACTTTTCCCCCCTGAGTGTTCTTAAAAAGATTAGATGAGAATTGGGAGGAAAATGTATTTTCTCCATTTTAATGGTCTTTTTTTAAATGTTTTATCTCAGCACAACCTAAAGTTGTATGTGATACCACCAATGGTATGCTTCCTACACTTTGGGAAATATGCTTCTAACCTCAAGAAAATCATCTTATCTTTCTGTGGTCTGTTCCACCCTTTCTCAGTCTTAACTAAGCTCATACTGATCCCAGATAAAAACCCAAGCACCAGAAAACAATGAATGAAGGCAGAGCAATTTCTATCTCCATGCCCTTGGGAAGTGAGGACAACATAGAAGTGAGCTATGGAGTTTTCTCTCTTTGAATGGCTAAGAAGGCACCAGGGTTTGTCTGAAACCAGCAGTTAAGATCCTTGAATTGGGCCAGCATCCTTGGACATTTATTTGAAATATCCGCCATTCTCCACTAAGTTGAATGAACTTAAGGAAAAAAAACAAAAACAAAAAAAAAAAACCCTTCCCCAGTGGGATGTTATAGCCCAGGATTGTGTGGGCAAGTAAAAACTCCATAGGAAGATCTCCTAGCTGAATCTATATTTGCATAAGCAAACTGTGTTATGAAGCCACTCTTGAATTTCCATACAGGCTGATTTGTTTTGTAAAGACAGCAGGGGTGGAGGGATAGAGATTGCCTAGAGGGGGTGGTTGAGGATTAGTGGTGCTTCTGTATGTGGGAGACCATTCGGTAACAGTGTCATGTAAGTGTGTCATGGACCTCATGCAGAGAAATGCACTTGGAGCTTCTGCGAGTCGGGGGTCTTGAAAGTTTACAAGGGTCTTGAAAGTTCCCTCTCGTACCTGCCTTTCCGGTGGCATTCATCTTATGCACAGCTAAGTTTCATGCCTCCAGAATCTCTTTCCTCCACAAAAAGGGGGCCAGCCATGTTCTGTATTCTTTTTTTTTTTTTTTTAAGATTTATTTATTTATTTGACAGGCAGAGATCATAAGTAGGCAGAGAGAGAGGCGGAAGCAGGCTCCCCGCCGAGCAGACAGCCTGATGCGGGGCTCCATCCCAGGACCCTGAAATCATGACCTGAGCCAAAGGCAAAGGCTCAACCCACTGAGCCACCCAGGCGCCCCCACGTTCTGTATTCTTAAGGTCCCCCCAGATCACTGGCTTCTCATCCTGGCACTGAGTTGCATTTTGGGCAAAGATAGGATTCAGGGGAAATACTGGGAAGAAGGAGAAGAGACGCCCCTTTCTGAACTGTAAGGTTTTGCCTTTTTATGTAAAGTAAGGAGATAATTCCCAAATGTTCTCATTTGTGCAGCAATTTGCTAGGGCTTTTTGGCCTTTACCTCCTTTTTCTTCACTTTATGATTCTGTCATCCAAAAAGATAGGAAAATAGGGCCATTAACATGGACCAAACAGACAGTTGCATGGTTAGAGGAGGTGTGCGGCTCATTCTCAATTTCGTTGTAACCTAGGAAAGAAAAGAGGAAATCCAAGCCAATTCAGGGATAAAAACATCATCTTCTGGTTTTGCAATTCAAGAAGAAAAAAATACAGTGAGGACCCATTGGGATCAACTCCTAGATTCCCGTCTCTTTATCTCCATTTTTCTTCCTATGAAAATAAAATTTTCTTAAAAAAATTTTTTTTCTTAGTATAAAAGAATAGGGAGTCCTGGAATTAATAAGTGAAATAAGCTTCTTGTTATAAATAGAGTGTCAGCTTTTCTTTGCTGAATTTGGATCTTTCTCTCTTGGCTTAATCACATGCTATGCTTCGGAATCAAACTTTTTCACGTGTTCCTCAAACACTGAACATGACAACACGCACACAAGGCAAGGCATTGTTTTAGGATTATTTATTTATTTATTTATTTATTTATTTTTCCTGCCATACCCAGAAATGCACGTTTCCCCACTCAGGTTTTCTTGTCGCCCACCCTCTCTGTAGGGCTACTAAAATATTAGTAGGTGGCTTGTGTGATTCCTAAGCTCTGCCCCACATTCATTGTTTTCCAATCCTCGGTGTCATGTTTATCTCTAACCACTCCCCTCTCCCACGCCCAAGTGTGAAACAAGATGAACACTTAACTAGGGAAGAAGGTCAGGTCATTTGATACGCAATCTCCAAATCTAGTATGTTAGAATTTCATAGGTAGTGTTGCCAGTTAAAATACAGACACTCCCTTAAATTCAGATTTCAGATAAACAGCAAATAATTTTTTAGTATAAATATAAATGTGTCCCAGGCAATCCTAGGAATATACATTCTTAGGCTTCAAAATTATTCTTCGTTGATCTGAAATTCAAATTATCAGGGTTATCTTATCTTCTTCTTATTGAGAGTATTGGCTAAATCAGGCAACGCTATCCATGAGATTGACTCCGGAAAATACCGAGTTTTTGTGATCTCTTCCACAATGCAGACAAAGAGTATTAATACTCAGCTGTCAGAACAGCACCTGGGGCACTTCTTTGGGAAGTGGAGAGATGGATGGGCAGGGAGAAAAGACTGCAGGTGGTCTATGGCTCCAGAGCCCACTAAGGAGGGGGAGGGTGGGCAGCAACAATGTGGCAGGATCCTGTGTAGGCATTTCTCTCTGGTCCTTTCCATACAATTATTTAGTTATTTATTTAATACCTATTTTGTGGCAGACCCTGGGCCTGATGGGAGCTACAGATGTAATGGCGTCCAAGGCAATGGCTCTTACCCTCAAAGCTCATGATCTGGGCAGGAAGATACATATTCAACAAACAATTACACTAATATATTACAGTTATATTATTCTATATATAATACAGTTATCTCTTTGCAATGTTTTTTAAGAGTCTCTGGGTATTTTCCCAGCGCAAAGAGAAGAGGATGGCCCATTTCCCGATGAAACCGATGAGTGTAGATGTGTTTCTCAGCCTTTTTGTCATTATCACCTTCCCAGTGTGAAACTTTTTTAGATATTTTCTCCCTGGATGGGTACAGTAGCACAAGGAGTGGGGAGACTTTGGTTTGTTGGAGGTGGTGTAGTATAGAGGAGGGGGTAAGAGCTTGGGTTTGGGTGTCAGATTCCCCGGATTTTGATGTCAACTCTGGCCCCTTATTAGTGTAGTTGTGGGAAAGTTTTTTAACCATCTGGGACCAAAATTTCCTTCTCTGTAAAATGAACGTAATAATCAGTTCCTTCCTCATAGAACTACTGTTAGAACATTCAGTCATTTAGAACAGTGTCTGGCACAGGTATCTTTGATTGTGATTATTAAATCAAAGTTAAAAGTTGGAGACAATGTCTCTTACATTTATTTTAACCTCTTTTAATTTCACAACTGGATTAGTCAAATAGTACGTGTATAATATAAGCAAATGCACACGTACTGGAGGTACATATTCAAACTGTTTTCACTGATGGGAACATCATCAAAACCATTTGAAGACCAGTGGCCTCAGTATAAACTTTCTCACAGGAAAGTGCCTCTTACTAGCACCTTGATTCCTAATGACTTATATAACATAATGTATTCTTTTGCAAAAAGAAACTATCTTAACTTTTCCCAAAATTTTAACACAAATCCGCATTCATATAGAATCTTTTCAAGGACAGAAAATGATAAAAAAGAAAATTAACATATGTAATCCCAGTGTAGGCTTATTAAAAATGAGATCTCACACTTTTGAAGTCCAGAGGTCATTTTAATTTTTTTTTAACTCTCTAGGGTGCTGAAAAGTCACCTGCCACTTCATCTGACGTCAAGTCAGACAAAGCAAACTTTATCTCCCAGGAGACCAGAGGGGCAGCTAAGAACCCTCCATCCTCGGATACTGAAAAGGAAACTGCCAAGGAAAAGGGGGGACCCAGCTCTCTGCCTCTGGGCAAACTATTCTGGAAAAAGGTAAGTCCCATTTTCAAGACTTGTGGAGTATAGTTGGGGCTAGGGTGACTGGAGAAATTATTTCATTTGGGGTCACCCCTGTGCTCACCAAGTACAGAGCTTATTTTTTTTTCCCCCAAATGACTCAACTAGCCATTGAGCTGAAACTTTGTAATTTTCTCCTGGGAAGAATGAAGTGTCTATGGTGTGAGAAGCATGTGTTTCATGGGAAAGACAAGGAAATAAACAAGTCAATTTTTTCATTCTTGGAGTTTCTTCGGTTCATGACAGTTGTGGTATTTCGTGATTTCATTTTCTTTCCAAAATGGCTTAGTACTCTGGCTTTCTCCTGGATTCCTCTGACCACTGTCCCCACCAGCAAGCTGAACCACCTCTGGGCGCCACTCTCTTTCCCTCAGCAAGATAGAATCAGTCATTATGAACCACTAAAGCTCACTCTGCTTTTGGAAAAACAAGGTGTCTACCATTCACCACCAGGGCGGGCACACACCGTGCTCTGTGATAGGAGCACTCAAAACACTATGTCATTTTCTTCCCTCTAGAATTCGGGTGGCTCACAAGGGAGCGCAGTGCGGTGGGTGGGACTGAGTCAGCCTGCGAGCTAGCCCTCGATCATCATTGCTGAGCACACCCCAGCTGCCACACATGTTCAGAACTCTTGCCTCTTTTAAATGTGGCCAAAAGATGAGCAAGACGTCGTGGGTGAGAGAGGGGAATATAAGTCATAGAGCTGAAAAAAAAAATCAAATTAGGAATTGCATCAAAACACCCATGCCACTTAGCACGCAGTGCAAGGCAGGCTAGAAATACAGATACCGCTACGGTGTTCACTTTGTTCTTTGGTCCAGAATCCAGCTGGATTTCTGGAACCCTTTTCTGTTGGCTTTCTGTTGTACAGAAATCTTCCTTCTGGGTTCTGCCCAAAACACAAACTCCAGTACTTAATGAAAACTTTGGATGATGTCATTTGGCATTCTGTCCTAATCCTCCTTCCTTCCCAACCACCAATTACTTATTTTTAAAAACTTTTTATCAGCAATATAATGTAGGGGAAATTTCCCAAGTGAATCATGTGTGCATATTGGCGGCCAGGAAGATGACTAGGCAACCCACATTCAAACATCATTTATTTTAAAAATTATATATATTTAAAATGCTTTAGAAAAACTGAGCTAAAGCTCATTACACTCAAGATTTAATATATATTTTGCCCAAGGTGAGTCTATATTTAGTTTAAAAAGTAATCCAATTAAAAGGAATAGTTTAAAAAGTAATCCAATTAAAAGGAATAATGTTACTGATCTTTAGTGTGTATCATAAATTCGGATCCTCCGAGGAGGGACACACGACAGAATTGATGTGCAATTGATTTATTGGAGGAAAACACCCTGAAGGATAAGGGGGTGGGACAGGAGGAGGTAGAGAGAGGCCTCAGACCACAGTGGGGGGCTGACATGACAGAAGGGAGACAGGGAAGGAAGGAGGAAAAGGTTGGGAAAGCCACAGACTAGGGGTGGTGCTGGGCCAATGGCGAATCCCAGAGCAGAGCTTGGCCACAGGGGTCCCTTGTTGAGTAAGAACGGCCCAGTACCCTGCCGTGCTCGGTCATTGCCTGGGAGCAGGCAGCACGGGCATGGTCTCAGCATTCACTCCGCAGCAGATGCCCAGAGGTGCGGGTCGGGGGCTGTCCTTCCAGCCGTGAAATCGGAGCAGCACACCCGTAGCGGCCACAGATGGTACATGGAATGTGGCCAAAACCTTATCAGAGCCTGGCAAATGACTCAAGTTCGAGGAACGCTTAGGGAAGGTTTAAAAGTTGGGCGTTGGACAATGAGCCTCGAAGAACTGCCTCGGTTTCCTAATTTGTAAAATATAGATAATAATAGCACCTCATCCTAGCAATGAAGAGTTGATGAAATCATTCCTGCAAAATCCCTAACACTGTACAAAATGTGGCCAACGAATGGGCTTTCCGACCTTTGTCACTCGTCTCATTTGTGCTGGGCTTTGTGGCCACTCTAACTGCTCACAAGGGCCACGTCTTCATTTCTCCATGCCCTCCAGTCTGGGGAAGCTTCTAAGCCACTCAGCCTCAAATACCTCATCTGCCCTCATCGTTGGGGTCTATAAGGCATGTATTCGTTCCTCTTTGAAATTCAAGCTATTTCCATTGAGAAAAAGAGAAAAGAACCCTTGACGTTCTTCCCCCTAATGGACTGATTTCATAGAGTTCAGTCTCGCTGTTTTTTTTTTCTTTTTCACTGTTATCTGGCTTTATTTCTTTAATCAATTATAAAAATAATGAAGAGAAGCGAAAACCCAAATCACTCGTAAATCTTGCTTTTCCTTCTCCCACCCAATCAGAAAGAACAGCTCTCTGTGGAAGTAAAATAGGGATGATTCACTTGTGCAAGAATATTTTCAGTCTCCTTTGTGCACAGTTGTTTTGCGCCAAATGCTTTGTGCTGATGCGTGGAAGAGAGAGCAGCGGCCAGATCGCTGCTCTTCTGTAGTTTACATTCTCGGGGGTGGACTTACGTGCTAGTGGAAAACAAACGACCTTCATTTTCTTTTCTTTAAATTAGATAAGCTTTGGTTATAAAATCACTGTTGTAAAAATTTTGGGAAGAAAAAGAGAAATGCTAGAAAATTTTGATTTTTCCACTAACCCAAGCTCTCTTTCTTCTCCTCTTTTGACTGGGAAGCTTTGAAACAAACTGACTTTGATGTGTATACATCTACAATATGAACATCAGGAATAAAATGTCCCCCCTAATGTGCTATGCATATGAAATGATAAGTTATTGTGATTTATAGTCTTGCTTGCTGAAGTTGTTCTTATTATAAAACAAAAGTAACACAAGTAACCTTTCAGAAAATTAATTTTAAATGATGGTATATTTGCCTTAAAGTGTTTAAAATCCGGGTACCTAGACCACCTACGTGTCCCTTATTGTTCTGGGTTCTTTGGGGGGTGCCATCTGTGGCCTCACAAAAGTTACTCAACCTAATTGAGTTTCTTTTTCTTCATCTGTTGAAGGAAAGGGTTGGAATAGATGATCTCAGAAAATTCTGGTGTGCGGCAGGTCTTGCATAGCAGACAGAATCAGAAAGATCGGACTGCATAGCCTTGGACAAATTCCGGAACCCCCTGAAGCCTCTGTTTTCTTTTGTGTAACTAGGGACCCGTTTCTCCTGCCGCGTTGTTATGCCAATCCACTAACTGTAACAGAGAGACCCTCAGACGTAGTAAGTGCTCAGTGAACAGTTTTATCATTTCTTTAGGTGTGAACTGTTGCCGGGTCTGATCTAAATATCCATGTGTGGCGTCTGGCGCCAACAGCACCCGAGGTACAAAACGAGTCTGAGACTCACTTATCCCACTATCGAAACCCCTGAAGTCCGTTGGAAGGAACAGGGGAGATACACACGCCTGCACGTGCAGGTGTGTACGCGTGCATGGGCGCGCACACAACTTGTAAATGATACATCTGGACTACCTTCATAGTAGTGCCTTGCCTGCTTTCCCTTGGAGGACACACGTGATGCCGTGGGAAACAGCGGGCATGCGGAAGCCCAAGAGACAGCGCCATCCGCTCTCAGCTCTGACAGCCCCTGGCTGTTTGGTTGTGATTGGGTCACTTAAATCCTCTAAGCCTTGCATTCCTCAGCTCTGGAAGTGGGCAGTGACAGCCACCTTTTGTGACTGCTGGGAGGATGGAGTGGAAAAATGAATGCGAAGTGATGAGCCCCGTTTCAGGACAAAGATGTTGGAATCCAGTGTTCATGTGTGGGGAGCAAGTTACACAAGGCTATGCGTGTCTGAAAAAAGGCAGCGGTCGGTGTAAGGCAAAACAGACTAAGAGAACTTTAAAAATCCTCCTGAATCATCTATTTCAAGTACAGATTCCTATATTTGATCTCAGAATCCCTGAGAATCCTGGTTAAGAAAGTCTGTCACATGGCTGGACCATTCTGGAAGCACTTGAAAGGCAGGCTGAAATGTTTAGGCTTGAGGAAAGGTCTTAGGGCCACTGTGAAATCAGTGAATGCAGAACAGCTGTCACATGATCAAATGATGCTTCCAGAAGACCGACAAGCAACGGGATGTCTGTTGGCTTAAGTGCTACCATGTGACAGTATTTTAAAGAAACATTCTTTTTTGAATGTGCTCTTCAAAGGACGGGAACACTGGCTGTGCAAGTTGGGACTGGTGCATTTCAGGGGCTGTGCTTGGGTCCTTATTCTCAGCAATATAGATGCCCAAACGGGATCCTTCAGTTTCAAACGGGGTTTTCTGTTGTTATCACGAATGAGGCCAGACAGTTTGTAGACTGAGCGGGAACAGTCAGATGGCCGGTGCACCAAAGATCAGAAGTTTCTGGTTTTGAGATTTGAATGGAAATCCTGCTGTCTGGGTGTTTCCTGATTAGCCTCATACCTGAGTAGGTTCTTCTGGCTGGATATTTAAGAATCCAATAAACACCTTTCGGTCTCCTGAGGTGGGACTTGCACTTGACAGTCCTCTCTGGTCTCCTTTGAAGTGAGCTGTGCAAGTTTCATTCTAGTCTCTGAGATTTCCTTCCGGGCGTATTTCCGATGTGGAATCATTGATCCTCTGCCTTCTGTCTGAGAGCTTATCTATCACCCAGGACCTGTCGGACTGCTCCCAGGTGCCTCTCATCCTCTGCTTGTAGACTTTCTACTAGCTGGGAAACATAAGGAGAAAAGGCAGAAGCTGCCCGAGGCCTTCATTTGTCATTGTGGTTTGAGCGTGGAAACCACGCTGGGTGCTGGAACACATGACATGTGAGATCCAGACTTGGCTCAAAGAATGGGTTCAATGGAGATAATGTTGATGAATGGTCCAAGCTGCAAATCTCATCTAGAGAGAAAGCAAGTCTGGTCGCAGAGAGAGAAGCTCACACTATTATTAAAAGGTGTGTTTCTGACCCTTGAAATCACACAGCAGGGGGAAAACTTGGCTCTCAGAACCATCTCCACCACTTTCTAGCTGCACCACCCTGAACAAGGGACTTTAGCTCTCTGTATCTCCATTTTTCCCTGTGTAAACAAGGATCACCATCCTTACCGCTTTTGGCCACTTTCAGTGAGAGGAGGTCTACAAAGCACCTGCATATACAATGTCTCTACGGGTATACAAGCCGTTTGCACAACGCAGGAGACGTATTTGTGAATGTTGATTCCTTTCTTCCCTCTTTCTGCATGTTTTAAAGGTAAAAACAAACACAGGACTTGGAACAGAATGAATATAAAAAAGAGCTCCTAGACTGGAATCCAAGAGATGGTCTATGGACACCCTAAAATTATTTGCAAAATATTTTGTTTGTCTTTATTTTTCTGGGATGAGAGTCCAGATCTGTCAAGTGAGTTGAGTCTCAAAGTGGTCTATAAACACCACCCCTCCCCCACCAGATTTAAGAACAATTACAACGATGAGCTCCAAGGTTGAAGCTTAGCAGACTGATGTGATGGTGGTGGCGTTGACCTTTGATAGCATTGGACCAATTGCTCTCCTAATCTGAGGCAGGACTGTGAATGCCAGGATTACTGTAGGGAGGAACAGTGTTTGAAGTTGGGTGTATTGGACCCCAGCTCTCTGGGCCTCCAGAGGAGGGTTTTAACCAGATTGATCTTGGCCATGATGACATTGACCCATATGGACGGCCGATGTAGGAAGCAGCTTCTGATGCAGGCCACTGTGCTGTGGTTGGGACAAGGCTAAAGACCCAGCTCATGACCTGGGTGCCTATTTGCTCTATGAGTACCACAGATGGACTTCTCTGGACTTTCTGCCAGAATTTTCCTGAGCAGCTCATTCGCTTTTACCTACCAGGAACGGTGGCCTGCGTGATCGATCCTTTTCCCTCTTTTCCTCAGCAACTAGAGAATGTTAGGGCAAACGCTTTGCTGACCGACAGCCCAGACTGTGGTTTGCGTTTTCTGTAGCAACCCCTTCTCCTCACTCCATTCGTGTCCTAGGCTGCATCTGGGTGTTTATTTTCCCTTCGTTGCATGTTAAAAAATACAGAACTTTTTATATTATCTTGCTGTACTGTTTACTTTCCCGTAAGCCTCCTTCAAGTTCGTTTTGGAATCAGGTATGTGTAAGAAATTCCATGTCCAAAAATGGCACCGGAGACCTGTGAGCCCAACTAACTCTCCTTTTTTTGGGGTAACATCCTGACTCTTACTTTTGTTTTTATCTCCCCTTTAGTCAGTTAAAGAGGACTCAGTCCCCGCAGGTGCAGAGGAGAATGTAAGTGATGCGTTAAATGGCAGAACCATTCCGTGCTCATCTTCTGCATGCTGGACCACGCATGGGGCATTCCAGCTCTGGGGCCCGTGTTCTTGCATGCGCCAATGTCTCCCGTCTGCCGTAGACTCTTTCATCCCTTCACGTGATCAGGGGCCAATGGGGAATGACGCTGGGTGAAGATTTGTAACACCTCTTGAATCCATGCAAACTAAGCACAAAATCAGAGCAAGAGTCTTTACCATTTGTTCTCATTTAATGGCTGAAAGAGTCTACCAAACTTAAGAACACACTCACACACCCTTAAGGGGCAATGATGCTGCACGCTGGGCTCCTCCGTCTCGACTACTCGTTCACCTCTATTTCCATGGCAACCCAGATTCTCTACTAACTGTGGGTGGTACCCAGGGCAGGTCGTGGCGTCAAGCATGAGAGCATCTTGCCGAGCTCCGTGTTGAGACTGTCAGTCTTGAGCAGGAGAGCTGCCTTCTTGGATCTACACCTGACAGACGTAGGTTGAGCCTCACTGTCCAAACTTTCAAGACCGTGTGTTCACATCGGAAGGGGATGGCTTGGTAGAGGCACATCAAAAATAGTTTCCAACACATCTTGCAGGGAGATGAATCAATTGTCCTCCTGAGTCAGCAGTTCTGGTTCTGAAAGAAGTGTAGTCTTTTTGGAAAATTTTGTGAGTGGGGACAAGTGAGTTCACAGCTCCTTAAGAGAGAAAATGATCGTGATCATTTTGCCAAAGTAAAATATGTTTGGCTCTTTCTAGGTGTCTCTTGTTTGCTAGCCTTGGACAGGGCTTGTGTTTTCATTTTTATTTAATTGCTGGCCTTGAACCTATGTTGAGTGTCCAAGTACATTCCAGAAGTGTTGCCTGTGGTTGGAATGAAAATCAGAATGGCTATGTTATAATTCTTGTTAGGAGAAAGATCTTTCAGATCTGCTTTTTTGTTGTTGTAAGTGTTTTCTTTCCCTCCCCCCTCCCTGCCCCCTCACCCACCCTCCCACTCACCCGCCTGCCTTTCCTTCTTCCTTCCTTTCTCTCCTTCCTCTCTTTCCTCGCCTTCCTCTCCTTCTCTCCTTCTTGCCTTCCTTCCTTCCCCCTCCCCCTCTCTTTTGACTCAAACTCAATAGCTCAGCAAAGCTCAGGTCTTTCATAATTCCTAAAATTCTCATGAATTTACCAGCTCTTTTCTACAGAGCCAAAGCCTATTTCAGCAACCAGTAAGCAACAACTCTGAGTCTTTTTCCCGTGAGCTTTAAATTTAATTTAAATTTAAATTTAAAAGCTTCTGGTGAAGTCTGAAGCTTGGAGGTTCTGGGTTTTCTGAAGAACAAGTTTGTTCTTGGATGTTTGTGGGCAGTTGCCTGTCTGAGGAACACCTCGCAGCTCGTATGCTAGCATGCAGAGGTCACCTTTGACAGACAAAGAGCAAGTATTTCCTTTTCTAATGTGACGTTCAGAACAGAAACCTTAATGTGAACCAGAGTTATAATTACTGATGCCCAAAGAGAACAAAAACCTGATAAAGATACCAAAGAAAGCAGAGTATTTTCTCAAGTATTTCTTAAAGTACTTTCTCAATAAAGAAGCGTTCTCAAGATGGCTTTAAAGTACTTAGCCCTACAAGTAACCTTTCTGTTTGGAAGCTCCAGCATTTCATTGTCTAGGAGCCTGTTTGTTGGAGGGCATGAGGCTAAAAATACTGATTCTGGGCCCATCACCCCAGGCTGTGCCACTTCTGGGACCTCAGTTTATTCCTCTCTTAAATGGCCACAATAATATTACCTACCCCTTAGGGTTCTCGTGAGAATTAAATGAACAAGGCATGTAATGTGTATACTTCAGTGCCTGAAAGATGAAGAATTCATTCAGGGCACAGCACACGGCAGCTCACATGCCAATTCCAGCCCATTGTCCATGTCCCTGTGGCCCACGAGCTAAAACTGGTTTTTACATTTTGAATGATGAAAAAAATGTAAAGAATGATATTGCAGGGATTATGAAAATTACACAAGTTTGGGACACCTGGGGTGGCTCAGACAGCTAAGTGTCCTGACTCTTAATGTCAGCTGAGGTCATGATCTCAGGGTAGTGAGACGGAGCCCCACATTGGGCTTGATGCCGGGCGTGGAGTCTGCTTAGGATTCTCTCTCTCTCCCTCACCCTCTCCCACTCCCCACCCCTTCCATGCTCATTCAAAATAAATAAATAAGTCAGTAAATAAATAAATAAAATAAGAATATCTGTTTTTTAAAAAAAACACACAAATGTTACATTTCAGTGTTTATGAATAAAGTTTTATTAGAACACAGCCATACTATTCATTTGCATATCACCTATGGCTGCTTTTCTGCCTCAGTGGCAGAGTAGAGTAGAGGGGACAGGGCCCTTGGCAGGAAGTCTGCCGTCCCTGTGGTCACTGTTAAGGCACAGGAGTTGTAACAAGATGATTAAGTGCTTCCCAGCGATCAGTGATTTTATATATACACACACACACACACACACACATATATATATAATTATATATTTTATATATATATATATATATAAAATATTGTGAAATTACACATCTGTCAGCTGACTCAGTGCCCACTTGGAGTCAAGGCATGTGTCAAATAATTAGCTTAATTTCCTCCTCCTCCCAAATAAGAGAGATGGCATTAATTAATAAAACAATGCATAGTACTCTAAACCTCCAAGCAGGACCATTAGGTGTTAGTAATCATATTATAAGAGTCCTTTAACTAGCACCTCTGGCTAAAATATGGTTGGGTTTCTTTATTTTTTAATTTCTCTACCATCAGTTTCTATAACCTATCTATCATCCAATGCAAAGCAAAAGACAGAGTGACTTCCACATTTCTCAAAGTTTTTCATGAAGAGAAAAGCAAGGCTTTGGAGACCCACAGAAGTTTAGTGCTTTTTCTAGCATGTGCTTCTGGTGCTATCAGAAATAAGACCTACGACAACAACTACTGAATCATTCTGCTGAAATTTTGGCCATTGCTTAATTAATGTTCTAATGCATGGAGGGGAGGAAAATCTCTCCTTACCAATGACCTACACGTTGAAGGAAAAGGTACTTCTGTAAGTAACCTCACAGTTGCCAGTGAAAGGAAACTCAGCCCAACCTAGATTTGTTTTAATTTATTGGCACTCCTCACTGGAAAGTAGCATTGCTTTCAAATCAGTCTTGTTGTAGGACTTCCTTGTGACTCAGCCTTCCTGGCCTGGCTACATTTCTTCTCACACCCCACCACACAGTCCAGAGTAAGGGAGAGACTGGGCCAGTGGAAACTCTGCTGGCCTGGAGTCAGTTCTCTTTCCCAGACTTACATGGGTTCCCAGGCTCTACGAGTCATCTCTTATCGGGCTGTGTTGTGGTAACATCCAGGTCCCATGCTGCATTGGCTTTCAACAGCAAAGATCCTTCTTTTCCTCGCTCACGCTACATGGCAGCCATAGGCTGGCTCTGGTTGATCCAAGTGGCTCCTTCCTGCTGAGATCTAGACTGAGAAAAACATCCCCTTCAACAAGGACGTGCAATTGTTGTGACAAGAGAGAGGAGAGGGCTGGGGTGAACCATGAGATGGCTCGGAGAGCTTCTACTCAGTCCCGCTTTACGGCGTGTCTGCTCATGTTACATTCACCAAACCAAGTCACCCAGCAGTGGGCTCAGATGTATGATCCCTTTATAGGAAGTCAGAGTGAAAAATTGGGAAAGTAATACATTCTGCGGCAAACTCCCATCCCCAAACTCCATATGGCCAAGGAGCTTGACCATGTGGATTCGCTTAGATCTGCTCAAGCAACTTTTTCCTGTCATGTGGGCTTAAGGTTAAAGAGGGTTGTTCCCCCAACACACAACTGGGGGTCCATGAAGAGAATGAGGGAGAATAGTGACTAGATTGAAAAATAAAATCTTTCCCAGGTCTTTGTAATCAAATAATCACGTTCTAAATCAAATCAGACAGCGTCTTTAAAAGATTCCAAAGTGAAAACTGTTAATATCAATATTGTGTGTTATGGGGGCAGTGTAGGTAGAGGAAATCTATTTTGCTATAAATCGGTTTTCAGAACTCACAGTTCCAGTGAAAACTGTATAATCTAAATTCCAAGAGTAAATATGGTACAATATTTGAGGGAAAAGAAAGTGAAAACTTTCGCTCTAATGTATTGTCTGTGTTAAACATACTAGCCATCTTCACTCAATGTATAATATCCCCTCCTGAAATGAAGCCAGGGGGATTTGATTCTAAAGGCTAGCACAAATCTGATTTTCGTTATATCCATCATACCCAAAATTAAAATGTGCAGATATAGTTCTATATTCTAAATAGGAAGTGACTTTTTCCAAAACCTTAGCCCGGAAGGATGTCAGAAAACTATCCAAATAAAAATCAAATTCTATGTCTGTATATGCAAATCAGCTCCTAACTCAGCTCAAATACTTCTGGTTTTCCACACTGGAAATCAGTGGATTTTCCTTGGCTGCTGAAAGCCAATTTCTTGGCCTGACTTCAAAGTTAATGGGTGTCTCTAGAAGTCCCCCCAACACCAGGATTTTTTCTTTTTTTTTTTTTTTTTTCCTACTGAAATAGTTGTGTTCTGAAGAATGGACTCTGGCTAGGATTTATGAGTTGACACCACTCAGATTTTTAAAGGACCAGCAAGAAAACCATTGACAATCAAAAAATTGATTGATGAAGTTACTGCCACATAGTCTGGTCATTTTATTATGTAATTTTCCCTCCAGACTCTTGCATATGAAAAAGAAACCTGCTGCTTCAAAGACAGAATAATTCCGAACCTAGATTCAATGAGTCAGACTCTGGCCATTTACCTACCTAAGGGCTATTTTCTATTTCTCCACCCTTCTCCCCTTGATCTTAGGTAAGGTTGGCAACTGCCACACCCCCCAAAGTATCTGATCATGATTAGTCTAAAGTAAATATCCCATTTTTTCCACAATAATTTGGGAGTAAGGATGTGACCACTTCTGGCCTGTGAGATGTATGCTGAGGTAGGAAATCAAAATACAGAATTTCATTTGAAATAAACCTTTTGCTATGGCCAACCTCCCTTTTTTAAGACATTAGGTTGAGGATGTGATGCCTGGAACCGTGGCAGCTATTTTATATCCATGAGGAAACAAATAAAAGGATAAAAGCCCATCATTCCCAGAGCCGAAGGATAGAAGGAGCCCGGGTTCTTGAGGACATTGTGGAGCCATTGAACCAATCCTAGAACTTCCTACTCGCGAACTTGTTGTTCTGTATCATTACTAGTAAAGTCACTATTAAGTATTCAGTTACTGGTACACAACTCCGTCCTCCCTGAAATGGCTACTTACCTGTGCTATGACTTTGGCCAAGTCATTCAATCATTCAGATTCTTTGTCTCTAGAATAGCGATAATGTTAATTACTCTGAACTCTTTAATAATTCAGTAACTATTCCCTGAGATAATATATTAAAAATACCTTTCATGAGGTCAGCCATAGCAAGAGGTAGTTATTAATAGAATCTCTAAAAAGTGGGTATGCTCATGTCGGGTGATTCCTCATAATTCAGGCCCATGGGAAAAAACAGCTCTCATAATAGCACAATTAACAACACTAGTATTAACTGAGTCATTGTTATGGGTCAGACACTGTTCTAAGAACTTTATGTGCACTGCCTGATTTAATTCTGCAAACAACCTTCTGATGTGTACACTGTCTGGATCAAGAATTGAGAACACCCCACGTACAGAGATATTGAGTAGAGACCTCGGTCTAGAGCCTCCGTAAGGGCTGGAGTGGAGACACAGGGCCAGGCAGGCTAGAGCCACAGGCTGCTCTCATGAACTCTATGTCAGATTTGCCTGCATTTCAGGCTGACCCCTGGATTCTGGGTGCAGAAACCTTTTCTCAGAAATGCAACTGAACTGAATCAGGCCCACATGTGGGAATCCATGACCATGTGTGACCACCAGTCCCCAGTATGTCACCTGGCTTCAGTCTCAGCCTGGTTTCCCAAGATGGGCTGGGTCAGAGCCTGGCAGGCCACAGCAGGAGAAGCCCTCCCACAAACACCTGTGGTCCAGTGTTTTTCTTCTTTAGATGGGACAACTCCACTTGCCCACTGTAGCCACTACCACTCCTTTGGGTCTTCTGGTCAGTCTCCGCTGATCTTATGTGCCTTCTTCACCGCCTTTGGACTTTGGAGTGAATGACTCCCCAACCTAGGTCTTTATCTTCAAAGGGAAGATGCTAGAAATCCTGTCAATAGGTTATAAAATGGAAGGTGGGGAGAGACGGCTGTGATTTAGTTGCCATATTTCGATGTGATCCCTTACATTGATTTGTTAATGGGCACCTTCCTGCTTTGCTTGACAATACAGAAATCAAGGGTCCTTCTCGATTTTGATCACTGGGATCATGTGCAAGCTAATGGCATATTCTGCATGAAGGAAAGGAAAATAATTTCTCCACAGGCCTACAGGTGTTTCTGGAAATACCTAAGCTCCCTTCCCCCACTCCCTGATGGCAAGAACGAGATGCAGAGGAAGCTGAGGGGTCTGGCACCAGCAAAGACAAATGCAAAGATGCCTTTGGCTCTAGAGTGCCTTCATCTGAGGTAGAGGATGACAAACCTATCATCCAAAGAGCTGGGTAGTAAATGTTTCAGACTTAACAGGCCACACGTTGTCTCCGTTGCCTGTCTTTCATCTTTTAAAAACATTTTGCAGCCCTTTAAAAAAAATGTAAAATCCATTCTTTGCTCGGGGTTGTGCTAAAACAGAGTCTGGGACAGATTTGGTAGTCGTTTGCCAGCCCCTGTCTGAGGAAACAAATTTTGGAGCCTTCTCCAGGCCAATTAAATCTGTTGCAAGAATCAGTGCAAAGCAGGAACCAGTCCAGATGTGACTGGGGCACAGCACAAATGGAGGGAGGCAATGCAAAAGAACAGAATTTGAAATCAGAGTGCAGGTGAATTGGACCCTTCCATCCAAACCCCCCATTACTGGCCATCCCTTCTCCCTGACAGACCTTTAGCGGGTTCTAAGCTCACCAGGTATGTTGCTGGGGGCCGTCAGGAACTTCACCATGGTTTTCTTGCCAAGTGCCATTTTCCTCTGAACTTCAATTAAGAGACAAAGGCAAATGACTGGCCCTGGGGTGGGGTGGGAAGTAAGTCAAGGAGGAGGTCCCATCTGTGAAATTCAGCGTGGACTTCACACTATCTTTTCCACAAAGAGGACAGGTCTTCCCAGTTGTGGGGGATCTTAGGGCATGCAGCGGAAGGTGTCGTTGTCACCGACTCTAAGGCTGGACCTTTAAGGAAATAACGACTCCTGATTTTTATACAGGCCTGGGCTAAGTCGCCTTGATGGCAGGCCAAAGAGGCGGGGCTCCTGGAACGGAAATGGGAGGAGCCTGCTGTCCCTCGGAAGGACTTCCTATTTCAGCCTTGTACCCTGTGGAGCACGATTTTTGCTACTTCCAAGTCAGCATATTTGGCATTTTTTTTTCAGAAATTGGCTGTTTGAAAGCACACTTTGCATCCTTCTCAAAGATGTGCCTGTGTAGAAATGATCATTGGGTCACACCTGTAGCACATGGACACGGTGTGTCCTACTTTATAAAGCCTGTTTTGGGGAACGTGTGTGTTTTTCTTTTCACTGTCTTATTACCTGGCAAAATAATCCAGGTGGTGTGTGAATCACCAGTAGAGGTTGTAAAGTCCGAGGAAGTAGACTCAACCTTACAAACAGTGGATCTCAACGAAGGAGGAGATGCCACCCCCGAACCCACAGAAGTAAGACTCAAAAGAGAAGAACGCAAACCACCAAGAACCCTCCTGATGACGTTTCTCAGACAAATGGTAAGCCCCCTGCTCCCAGCAGGGAAAGCTGGAATCCCCAGATCAGCTTCTGAGAGTGAAGGACCTGTGTCAGTTGGGGTGAGACGTAACTGTAGGGGGTAGAGGGATGCACGCGGGTCATCAGTCCTGTGCAGGGAGATTATTCCCTTTCCTCCTCCTGACTCATTCACAGCGCAAGTCTCAATTTATTGCTAATGCTCCTTAGTCTTTCCTTAACTCCTGCTAACTCCCTTTTTAACAAGGAAAGAGCTGATCTTAGGTCCTGAGCTTTGGCACACAGCAGCATCCACGCAGAAGTTAATATTGCTCGCTTTCAATTTAATTTATTTTTAAAGTTTCCTTCTGTGTATGGCAAATGATATTGTTTTTCTCATTATGGTAATGACATGCAGTTTCCTTTGAGAATACATTTATTTACATAAAGAACATAAGGCATTGTTTAAAGGACTAGGTAAGAAATAGACCAAGTTATATATATTGATGTTGGAAAAATTCTGGAAGTGATGTGTGAGTGACACAAACTTGGACAAAGCCGATCTAAAAATAATTCCAATTATAAAGTGACAACATAATTTTCTAATCGTGGACGTGTATAACTCAGTTGGTGAAGTTGCCATGCTTTTAGCTTGCATAAAATGGAAAGAATGTGGGCAGATGTTTTTTGGTGTCTCTGAAGTGTCATGTACATTAAATAACAAAGCATCCAAGAACTTAAATAATGTAATGCAACAAAACCCAACGTGGTTGGAAGACAAAAAGCAAAAGCCCATGCAAAAGGTCATCGGTTTAATTCTCTTTTAATGAAAAACAAGAATTTCATTATAGTGCACCATTATTTTTAGGAGTATTTGGGAATTTAATCCTTTGAGAAAGCAGCCCTCTGGTTTCACAGGCTCTGCCCAGTAAGGAATTCTTTCTAGTCCACCACACAACATAACATAAAACCCTTGCCAGTGGGAGCTGAGGCATATAAGAAATGACTCTCTTAGACACTGTCAACAGGAATCATTTTCTTTTGTCATTGGACTCTTGGGGAGTAGGAAGTGTAGAGTCAGTAGTGAGCAGCCTGCATGGCTGGGACCCCATCTATGTTCCTAGTCATTAACTCTGCCATTCGGCATCGAAAATGGGGATCAAGATCTGAGATTTTTCAACCAATTTTTACATAATGTCAGGAAAGAAAAGAACATTTGGCCTCTTTCTGGCAACCCAACTACATTACAAATGGCATCCCAAAATAGCTCATCATGACAGAGAGAGTGATCCAACTTCCCCATTTCTGGGTGGAGCTGAGAGTACCACCCCCCTCCCCAGCAACCTAGCAAATAGTACGACTTTCTCTTCCAAATAACCAACCTGAGACTTCATCACTTAAAGACAAGAGAATGCAAGAGCCTCCAAATAAAGCATGAACGAAGTCTAAACCACCCACTGCATCCTTTCAATTCAAATCCTTGAATTCTAATGAGGTCTCAGATTACTTCAGTTCACCTCCAGAGCTACCCTTTAGAGGCTTCTGGGGGATATTTTCTAGCATTAGAAACGGGTTCCTCTGAACAGTTAGGGGAATGAGTTGGAAACAAAAGAGTCCTTTATAATTGAATCTCCATAGGATAGGGATGGAGGTGCAAGGGGACACATCTTTCTGGAGCAATCCTCAGTGCGTTCGTAGCATCAGGTCTACAATGGCCATCATTCTAATTATGTACCATCCATAGAAAGGGTTGCGCCTGGGAGCTTGATCATGATCGCCCTCTATTAATGTTCAAACTCTAAAGCTCTCATGATTTAGAGGATTTTCCCTAAAAATTCCAGATACCGTCGTGATTCTTGTAGTCTGTTTTATTTTCGTTATAACAATATATTACCATTGTGAATAGTTCAAATACATAGAAAACGTGGGTCTTCCATTTCATCACTGATCCCACGACTCCATGTTGTCACACCCAGCTCACTTGTTTATGTCACTGGCTCTATCCCTGTGGGTATTTGGTGGTGTATCCCTGATACAGCCCACCCCATTCTTTATAACAACCATGGAATCACATCCTCTGGATTTATCATACTGGGATTGATGGAAACTGGATTTGTTTCTAACTCGTTGCACTTCATTTGGTCATTTTTTCAACAAATGATTACTGAATACCTGTTGTATTCCATACATTGGGATATAACAATAAGTAGATGTGGCCCTGTCTTCACAGAAAATAAAACCCAATGAGGAAAACATGTTTACTTTTAACTCTAGGCCATATGCAGTGAGCACACACCATGGGTCCCAAGCACATGATCTCAGGTCCTTCACTCACGAAACTGACGAGCATTCTTGCACACCTATCTTTACGCACATGTGCTAATATTCCCACAGTGCGCATTCCTGGAGTTGGCTGCAGCATTTGTCTTCAGGAAACACTTTGAGCTCACATATCATGACTTCCAAAAGAATTTAAAGTCTGGATTTATGCGGGAAAAGATCAAACCAAACCAAATCCTCCTCTCAGGGCTTGAAACTTGAGACAACATCCGATTCATCACTGAGCTTTTCCTTTTTTATTTTTTGAGCCAAATAAGTGAACGTTTCAAATTGATTTTAGATATTGTTAGCAAAGTATAGTTCTTTTCAAAATAATCAATTTAATAGAAGAGGAAACTCAACTGCAAATGCATTAACCTTGTTTTGTGATCAATGTCTCCATTCATCATCATTGATTTCCTTCCTCTTCACCTTGGTCTCTCTTAAATTTCTCTCAGAAAACATATTTTGCTGTCCCATGGCAATATGACTCACGGTGGCATATTTAAAAAAAATAATAAATGCATTGCCCAATTTATTTCCAAAGAGATCTTTTTCTTTCCAGAAATTAACCTCTCATAAAAAATAGAAGTGGAAAGACTGTCATTTTGCAAATAATCTCCTTTCAGGAAAAATAAGTGTATTTCAGGAAAAAATAGAGTCCCTACATCCTCATATGGCATCGGACACACATAGATCTACCACTTCACAAAAATGCTATGGGCTTCTATAGATCTTCAAAATAATTGCTAAGGCATCTGTCATGCCCTAAATAAAAAAGATTCTTATATGTATTAATTCAAGTGTATGTCAAGAAATTGGATATTTGAAGTGCTAGTGTATTTTTATCAAGTGAGTAGGTGGAGAACTCTATTCATGTGCCCACAAACCAGGTAGGCAGATGAAACCGTATGGTGGTAGATAGAACTACAGATATAGGTTTATAATTTGTCAATATTAATAACACCCTGTACTTAAAAAGTGCTTTCCTCCTCCGAACCATTGTTGCCTACTGTTTCATTTAATCCTCCTCCTGTCTCTTTCCTTAGACCATTCATTTTGTAAGAAGCTTTTTGTTGGAATAATGTTCTCAGGCACAGAGAAGGACTGTGAGCTTTAATATTGGGCAAATATAAGATCCGAATGAGGATAGAGCCAGGAAATCACAGTCTTCCGTTGCTTACCTTCAATCTATAAATCTAATAAAACCGATTGAAATGTGCCATCTGGAGGAAAAAGGAGGATGGTTTATTATGGTGATCGTAAAAGAAGAAAACAAGAACAGGGATCTTCTAGCTCAAGTTCTCCATCTCCTGTTCTGCCCCGAGTCCTGACTGTGAACGCAGAGTTGCTCTTCAGAAGGTTTCTGAAAATCACATTTCTTTGGGCAATTCCTGTCTCCAGAGCAATTTGCTTTCCTTTCTACCCTGGCAGGGGATTCTGTGGTCACTTGGCACTCTCAGTTAATAATTACAGTAATGATCATAATAGCTAGTGTTTATGTATCACGTGCCAGTGGCCTGGCCAGCACCGTGCTAGCCTAGTGCATGCCTTAGCTCATTTATTAGCCTAAAAACCCCAACAACACATCCCTGCCCCCACCGTGCAGAGAGGGCATGAAGACTCAGGGTACTGAAGGGACCCGCTCAGGGTCACAGAGGTGGTAAATGGCAGCACCATCACTCAGACTCCGGTGCGTTTTGCTGTTAAAGCTCACGCCTGTACTTAGACGTGACTGTGCCTTTCTGGGCTCCCAGCAGCTGGTTTTCCTTGAGGGTACGTGGAGGTAGAACAGCCCAAACTCCATTTTTGTGATTCTCCTGGTAGTGTTTCTGGTGCTCAGCTGAAGTCCCTGAAATTACAACGAGGCAAGAGAGAGGAGAATTAATACATGACTTACGTAAAGCTGGGAGGGATGTTTTCTGAATTTACTAAAATGAGATTTGCCTTGATTGTGTCATTTTGTCTGATGGTCCAGTTCTGTTTCAGTTGGGCATCTTGGTAAAACACGAAGGTTGGACCCATAGCCTTGGTTGATTCTGGAAATTTCTAGCAGGTCCATTTCCTTGGATTTGTGTAACAGTGAGGTTGACCTAGTAAACAACCCTGCACTTTCTTTTTCTAAATGTTCTCAAGCAAGGCTGGCCCATGTAGAACAACGCAGAAGACCCAGAGGAAGAAAAAAAGATAATTGAAAGTATCTTCCCAATTCTTCTTTTAAATCTCAACTTTGGTTGGATTAGATCTCCGCCAAAAATACCCTTGCACTCCTTTCAAAGGAATGCGAATGCCCACCCAACATTTCCACTAGAACTTTGAATATCTAAGTGATACACGTTGGAGAGGGTTCAAATGCTCCTCAGAGTATCAAGCTATCGGAATACGTGACACAATAAAAGAAATAAAAAAGGCTTTAGAAACATGCAAAGCTTAGATGTCACAACCGGATTCCAACCCAGATGCTTCACCTTTTGTTCTCCTGAATAAAAATAAACCCCTGGAAGTAAGTTGCTCAGTATTGAACTAGAAAACCTCTGAAATTCCTTCCTTGTAGCCTTCAGATTATTCTTTAGGGTATTAGGTAGTCCCTGAAAAAAAAATCTGGGTTTCTTTAAACAGGAACTTGATTTTTGACAGCTGGAGAAAATGAGCTTCTGTGGTTTTGGTCCTTTGAATACAAAGCCCAACATACACTATTTGACTTGGCCTCTGAAAGAGGACTCAGCAAAGACGAGAGAGTGATCGAAAGAAAACAAAGAGAGGAAGGGAGGGAGGGACTTTATAAGAGCCTTAGTCTAAACTCAGCTCGCAGTTATCTTTGCACACATACAGCTTTTTGTACCTCAAAATGAGTAACAGAGGAAAATCCTAGAAAAGCTTGAGATAGTCTCTTTTTTAAAGAAGAAGTTGAACTTCTTTTCATTGATCTCCCTGGTAGCCGGAGGGGCTGTTTTCAGGAAACTAACCTAGATCACCACTGCCAAGAAAGCCTCTGATTCAATCCAAATTCTTCTCCAAGGGCTCGAAAAGACAGGGAGGGGAAGAAAACAGACTGCAACCTTAAACGGGCAGAGGACCTAACGGATATCAAATTGAGACCACTAAAGGGAAGTTAAAAATCTCTCTCTCTCTTGGACAGGAAGGTGACCCCAGGGGCCATGCATGCCCCTTGATCTCCATTCAGGTTTAGCTTAAAAAACCATTTTGTATGTTTGTTTGGCTGGTTTTGCCCCTCAGCACTACCCAGAGGCCAGCTAGTGAGGAGGAGATGATAAACAATGACCAAATATGTGGGAATTAAACCCGAGGCAACATTGTTGCTAAGAACTGGACAATTAATTACCAAATTTCTCAGGTACTTTATCAAGCATTGGGCATAGAGCATTATTGAATTGACAGTTGAGACAGCAGACCCCAATATTGGTCTGCCTTTGTCTATGCCAATTAGCTTTAAAAAGTGATGCTTAAACTCAAGTATGCTTCAGAAACACCTGGAGGGCTTGTTGCTCAGCCCCGCTCCCCAGCCGCCCCTGGGAGTTTCTGATTCAGTAGATCTGGCGTGGTTCTCAAGAAATGGTATTTCTAACAAACTCCCAAGTGATGCTGAGGCTATGGCCCTGGGATCACAATTTGAGAACCCTTTGCCGAGCGTATGTTTTCAGGAGCCAAAGCTGTGAATTCAGCCCATCCAGCCCTATCACTGATGCCATGGGCCACAGCAGTCACTAAAAAGGAAAAAAATAGGATATTCAACAAACCCCACCTCTCTGTGGGGAGAAAAAAAAAATACAAGGAAACATCCACCACCTTAAATGTTACCAATGGAAGTCTACCATTGGTTTAACTGTTCATTCATTCAACACGTCCCACCACCTCCTGGTTCCAACATTGGCATTTTGGTCACCATTTCTTTATCCCAGGATTACCTAATCCCAGGGTTTAAGAGTTCCATTGTTGCTGTTATTTGGGGAAGCCAACACTTGACTATAATCGGACTCTGGTTACAAACCACATGGAAATTGTGTATCTTGTGAGTAATATATTTCTAGCTGGTCTTCCATTTGTCTCGACCCTGAATCTCAATCATGAATGACTGAGGTCATCCATTTCAGAATTCCCTGTGCGTTCTCCATGTTGCTGTGCTCATGGTAGCTGAAAGGCCATTGTCTGTTTGTTATTTTAGTCAGTGAAAGGGGATGGAGGGATCACCCACTCAGAAGAAGTAAATGGGAAGGACTCCAGCTATCAAGTAAGTGACCTGTGAGATCTGTTCGGTGGTGGGTTGAGCTTGCATGTTCTCACTTCTTTCCAGCTTAGTTGCCAATGCAATTCTCAGCCACAATCATTTACCATCTCTGGGTTAAGCACCTGCTGTATGCTAGGCACTGTCTTGGACTCTGCAGATATATGCATGAACAAGCTTGAGTTTCTTGGCTTTTTCATATTTAACAAATGTTTTTCCCTCTTCTCCACCTGGCAAATCCCTTCCTATCCTTTAGGTCTTGGGCTAAATGTCACCTCCTCCAACAGATGTTCTACTTCTGTCCATCATCAGTGCATCTTGTTCTTTTACTTTGTGGAACTGATCACACATTGTAACAAGTCATTTGTCTATTAATTATGCTTCCTTTACCCCATTCCTTTCCTTGTCTGGGGCATCTGTGGAGCAAGGGAGGAGGCTCTTTGATTTTACATCACATTGCATAGTGCCTGGCATACAGTAGGAGCTCTTTCTTGAAAAAAAAAAAAAGGAGGGGGGTGAAAGATATGGGATCCCATGGGGTTTTTTTCCATTATTTTCTCCATTCTAAAGAAACCTAGCTATGACATTGTTATAACGACACAAATCTTTTTTTTTAATGGGATCGTCTCATGCTCAACACCCTACTTTATAACCTGCGTGCTTTCTTAATATAGCTTAATATAGCTTAATATAGCTATAGAAATATAGCTTCACAAAAGTGTCCTCAAATATTCTTCTACTGATGTTTTCGATACAGAGAACTGGTTAAGAACATGAGTTGCAGGCTCAGACCACCTGTGTTCGAACCCTGGCTCCGCTCCTTTTTATCTGTGTGATTAAAAACAGCTGACCAAATCTCTCTATGCCTCAGTTTCTTCATCTCTACAATGGAGCTAGGAAAAGTACTGCTTCGTGGCATTGTCCTACTTTACATGTCAACACATGTAAAGCCCCTGGAATAGTCCTAGTACCACAGACCCAGTAAATGTTAGTTGCTATGGAAGCCACATGGGCTGCCGTACAAACGACCACAGACTCAATGGTTTAACAACAGAAATTTATTTTCTCACAGTTTTCTAAGGATGCTAGCGTGGTTCCTGGCAAGGAGAGCTCTCTTCCTGGCTTTCCTACAGCTGCTTTCTGTTATGTCTTCCCATGGCAGCTCTTATAAGGACACTGATCCTATTGGATGAGGATCCCAACCTATGACCTCAATTAACCATAATTACTTTCTTACTCCCATACTTTCACACTGAGGGTTGGGGCTTCAGCATAGGAAGCCATAGAGGTGGCTATTAGTTTGTTACTATTACTGTTATGCTACTGATAGGAAATTACCACACTAGTGTATTGTTCATAGCACACAAATGGACAGCAATGACTATAAATAATTTATTATATTTCTATTTCTATAATAATTGAATTAGACCATATATTTCAATGGGGAATATGTTGCTTTTTGCTACATTCAAATTATTTTTGTTTTTCTTTTTCAACTTCTGACTATGCTCGCCCCCCAACCCATTCTCTCGACCACTTCTGAACCCAAAATCCTGAAGTTCACTACCTTGGAAATAAGATAAATTTACTTTATTCAGTACGAAACATCTAAATATCATTGTACATTTTGTCTGGGATCTGAATGTGAAACAGGGATGCCAGTCACCTTAGCGATTCTGAAATGGAAGTGAAGTCAGTGAAAATCTGATTGAGCTAGAAATTTCATTCCATTTACACTTACCGAGGAGTGTTCTGAGAATCCATTAGAGAGCCCTGGATCCAGACTTGAGATGGGTGTGTAATCTTGGAGATACGATAAATATTTAGTTTCATTTTGGGGGTGGGAAGAGACAGTCTTTGTTCCTTTCCAATTCGCCCTCTCAGGGTTATAAAAATCTTGGTTGATGATTCCAGGAGAAGAAGCCTCGGGCACCTCCTGGTCTAAGGTATGCTTCCAAGGTCTGAATCAAACAGGATGTTCCCATGACCTTGTCCTCCAGCTTTCTGCCAGCATCACTGGGTTCTAGGGGACGATACACTCAGATGATTTGGATGAGAATAATTTTTGTTATAAATTCTGAGACAGAGTCAAATCCCAAGCAAATATTTTTAAATCATCTACATTTCATGATAAAGCAATCATCACACAGTTTTAGATTCTTAGCTTACTCTGAATATAAGGAACCAGCCATCTGTTATTCTGAGAAGTTAGTTTCTAAGCCATTAAGAAGAACATTTAAGCCTAATAGCATGGCGTAACCCTGTGGTAAATGGAGCTGATCCATTGAAAGCTCTCCTCCTGGAAAAAAAAAAAAAAAAATCAATGTCCTGTGAAAGCTATTGATGTGTGGGCACTTCTCCCTCCCCACCTCACAGTGATATGCTGAGGAAAATAGTGTAGAAACATCTGGAAGGCGAGTTGCTGGCCATTCATTCAGCCCATTTTGGTGGAGACTTACTATGTGTCAGATGAGGTGCTGGGAATGAAGCCACGGAAGACAGAAGAGTTTTGTTCTCCGGAGCTCCCCCTCCAGCAGAGGGAGGAGGGCGGAACACTCTCAAGTGAGCCAAGAAATCCCCAAGATTAAGGCAAACATAAAGAAAACACAGCAGTGTTTTGTCAGAGAGGAGTCGGGCTTCTTTAGACCGTCTAACCAGGGACTGAGTCTCCAAGGAGGCAACATCGGAGCTGAGACTTGAAAGAAAAAAGCAGCAATCCTGTCAAACCCTGTGAGCACACTGAGAAGTTAACAGTGAACGTGAAGCCCCTTTTTTTGAGAATAAGCTTATTCGTGGAAGAAGGGGAGGCCATGTGTCTAGAGCAGAAGGAACAGAGTGGAAAGGAATAAAAGATAAGGTTGGAGAGGAACAGGGACACTCGATTTAACAAGTATTACCTGAGCCCTTCGTCTGTACCTGACTCTCAGCTCCACACAGAAAGAATCTGTCAGAAAGATTCGCTGTGGACAATGTTGGGGCAGGATGACCAACTCTTCCCAGTTTGCCTGAGACTTTGTGGTTTTAAAGTTAAGTTGCATGTCGTGGAACCCCCTCTCTCCCAGACCCAACAAGAAGACAGGTCCCCCGATGTTTGGTCTTTCCCATGGGCCAGACACCATGTGATACAGGCTTTCCGTGATTGGCTACTTTTATCCTCAGACCACCATGAGGTACGATGTCTTTGTTGCGTCCACACAGATGAGGAAGCTGAGAGAGCAAATGACTTATTCCAGATCATACAGCAAGGATGTGATGGAACCAGAGCCACGCCTTGCTCTTTTGACCACAAACAAAAAGCCCTTAACAAATAACTGGATCTTACTATCTTCTATGTAAAAAAGAACAGTCAACAGGATGTTCAAATGGCCCGTGGTCTTTCTGAAGAGCATAATGGTGGGGGTTTCTGTCAGGGTTATCTACTCTCCGCTCTCTGTAGCATTTGGGCTTCAGTATCTTACTTCGCATTTGCTACAACTTTGGCAGCCGGGGTCTGATGGAAATATTCAGCTGGCGGTGACAGGACAGCTTCTTGGGGTGACTCGGTTTCGGATGTTTCCTTTCTCCAAGGAATTCTGCCCTCAGGAGACTCGTGGGACTGGGGAATCTTCTGTCTTCTTGCTTATTTCTAAGGGTTATATTGATACTGATGAGAAATGATAGTTGTTTGCGTATTGTTTTCTCCATCAGACTGCAACTTTATCCGAGGAACGTTTTCAATCAGGAACAATCTATCACTTTTACAAATCAGAAGTTATAAACATATATTCGGTGGATCAAATGTGGCCCATGGGGCTACTGGTGTTGTGGCTGTTTTCATGTTTCTATGCGAAAAATAGAAGACTGTACAGCACTGGGGTTGTAATCCTACACAGGGTCTTGGCTGGCTCTGAGCAGCTGTTACCCCTTTGGACAGGGCAGGTGACAGTTCACCACAATTCTCGCCGCCACTCCAATTTTCTCCCCAACATCAAAGCCAGAATTGCTTGAACTGGTGTTTTTCTTACACTAGGGACATATGTCTTACATTGCTTTCTCGACTGGGGAAATAAGTCTCTGTGATTATTTTTACCCCTGGCCTTGGTCATGTTTTTATTTCATCTGTCTGGCCCCTACCATAATTTCAGTTCAAGTAAATTATGGGGGAAAGGCTTTTACAGATTTTGTTATCTGTAATTTACCTAGAATTTTCTAGAATTTTGGATTGTATAGCTTCATCCTTCCAAACTATAGGAACCAGGTAGGATTGCAAAAATCTCTCTTCAGCGTGAAAGATGTACATTCAAAACTTAAAACACTTATGTTCTCTCACCACTGTTTTATAGACAAAAGAAGAGTTTCACACCAGAAACTAAGGTAGACATAACCATGAAAAAAAGACTAAGCATCCCCAGGAAAAGAATCACATGTGGTTGTTAAGCGGGAGAAACCCGCTCGAAGCTGGCTTAAGCACAAAAGGGCTTCAGGAACAGCCAGATCCAGGGGCAAATATGAGGCTATCAGCATCTGGGTTCTTTCTCCCGCTCTCTCTCTTCATCTCTCAGCTCTGCTTTTCTCTCTAGTGTCTTCCTTTTCAAGCAGGTTTTTCCTGAAAATGGTGCTGGCTCTGGAAGCTCCAGGCTTTTATCTTCATGGTTCGGAATCCAATGGAGGGTGGACAGATCTCTCTCGGGTGGTTTAACAAGGCTCTGGCATTAGCTCAGTTTTTATCTGCGTCCAGCCAGCCTGAACCGATCACAGCAGCCTGATCACATGCACAGCTCTGACCCGCCAGGTCTGAGTCCTGTGCCTTTGTCCAGGGGCGGAATTAATTTGTCTGAACCCACGGTGAATAAAGGAGAGAAAAGTGAAATTCTCCAAGGAAAACCCAAGTTCTAGTCCCAGAAGAAGGCGAGAAGAATGTTGAGTAGCAAAACATAAATAAATTAATTATTAGATAAACATATAAATGTCTCCTACTGGGACCTTGAACCATCATAAGTATTTGCACCTTTTTCCTATTTTTTTTTAATTCCATCCAAGACTCATGAAGGTAGACCCCATCCAACATTTGAACGCCTCTGTTCTGACATATCTGCTATGGAGCGTGGTCTTCCAGCCCCTAAACACACATTTTGTTTGACTTTGCCGCAGACCTCGGACTCACCGGGGAAGGCTGTCACACCCCCGGAGCCGGAGCCGGCGGGAGCAGGCCAGAAGGGCAAAGAGGGTTCCTCCAAGGACAAGAAGGTGGCGGCTGAGGGGAACAAGCAGAAGACCCACAAGCCGGAAGCCAAAGAACCGGCCCAGTGCGCGGAACCGGCCGCGGGCGAGGCGAACTCGCTGCAGAATGGGGACAAGCCCCACAAGAGGCAGGAGAAGCGGCGACAGTCCCTCGGAGGCTTCTTTAAGGGCCTGGTAGGTGGATTGTTGGTCTCTTCTTTCTAGGCTCTTGGGCCAGGAATGTGGTTCCTGCCTTCAAGGTGGGACTGGCCTGGACTTTGGTCAAGGAAATACTGATGGAGCTCGGCCTGTCTGGCAGGGGCTGGGCTAGGCTCAGAGAGCAGCGTGGGCAGAGGACTTGCCACTGGCGGCGGGGGGCGGGGGGCACTCAGGTGTGGATGGCTGGGGGCAGGGATACTGAGTGGACCACGAGCAGGGAGGCAGAAGGCAGGTGCGAGGGAGCCCCCAGGGGGGTTGAAAGGAGTAGCGGGGGAAAGCTTCTCCGCAGAGATCACGTCCAAGGTGAGGCCTCAAATGAGCCTGTGGAGGAGGAGGCAAGGGGAGGCCTGAAGGCCCAGTGTGTCCTAGCAGTGGAGAGACAGCACAGAAGTGAAATCATCCAGTGGTAAGAGAGCACAGGAGGACAGAGGCAAGGTGGCAAGAACAGGTGAAGATAGGGAACATCCGTGTTTGTGGCCAAAGGGAGCCTTGAAGTGCTTAAATCAGGAAGCTGCTCTGAACGTGACCTTGGGTGGTGGGTATACAGAGGTTACTAAAAATTAGCTCCTGCCTTCCAGAGAGGCCTGGTCCAGGGTGAGGGGAGCCCAGACATTCAACAGTTAATTAACCTCCGGGTTATGTGTGTGTGTGTGTGTGTGTGTGTGTGTGTGTGTGTGT